ATATCAATAAATATGATAATATTAAATCTATTATCTTTGATAATGATTTTTTTCACGTTCCCAATATTTCCCTTACGATAAGCGATTACTATTCGATTTCGCTTAAATAGCTTTTTAATATGATACATAACTTCTACATTTCAGAACTTCATATGTTCAAAGTTTCCTGATGTGGCTAATAATGTGGCTAATCAAAGATAACAAATGTTCCAGAACATTCTAGATAAAAATCCTGATTTTTCCAGGTCAATTAATATTCATTTCTTAATTAATTTTTATTAATTCACGCGATATTATATATTTTATATTCAATTTAGAATTCTATATGCAAATAAATTAAAATGCGAATAAATTTAGAACAATATTACTTATTGCTTTATAAATAATATCGAAAGAATGTTCAACACAATCGATAATAATTTCTCTGCTACATTCTATTTTGTAATTGTTAGACATTAAATTTTCTATTAATAAATTAATAATTTACGTTATTGAATCTTTAAAGAAGAGCTTATACCTAAACACAATTTTTCTTTAATTAATATATATCACAAACATCATTCTATAAAATTATTTAAATTTATGTTTATGGACGTTTCATTAAATTATTAATCTGATTTTTAATGTTCGCATTTGTTTTAAAAGTTTCATATAAAAACATATACAGAGTCCCGAAAGTTTTTGCCAATCGCTTTTGTGTAGAACGGACTAAGCCGAGACGAAAAATCCTCTATCATTTTATAATTTTCGCAATAGTTAACAAAATATTAATTACTAAAAATTGTCAAATATTGATTTTTTTACTCAAATATCAATTTTACAGAAAAAGAGACCAAAATCATTTATTTTCTTCTTATAAAGTTCTGAGAATTTTTTTAGAATTTTTTATCAACTTTTTAGAACTGAATTTTCTTGTTTTTACCAACATGAGAAAATACGATAATTAACAAATTCTGAAAAAATTCTGAAAAAATTCTCAGAATTTTAGAATTTTATAAGAAGAAAATAAATGATTTTTGTCTCTTGCAGTTTTTCTGTAAAGTTGATATATTTAAGTAAAAAAAATTATTGGAGACTAATATTTAGTGATCAAGCGCGCGATAAAACCGCCCAACGCGGTGAGACACGCATTCGTCGTCGTTAGATATTACGTGTGTGATAACGGCGAACGTGCGCCTCATTTGAGCAATCCTATCCTCATTTTAAAATTACATTAATAATGTAATTTTAAACATGTTAAAGATACAAGATGAAGTAAAATTTGAAACTTATTATTTTAATTTAATTATAGCAAATTCGGTTTTGGACTCACTGATGTGTACTAATGCATATTTAAGCCGTTATACACTAATTTAATCTATGTAAAAGTAAAATGTAAATATTTCGGATTATATCAAATTTTACTTAATAGCACAGCAAAATATATTAAGGATTTCATGGTTTAATATTTATTCCGTTTTTATATTTATATTAAATACATATTTGTACATCAATTTGTGTACCATGGCTTTAATGTGCATTGATTGAGTGCGCACTGAGTGCATCCGATCAAATTTGCTATTAGATATACACTCATCTACATTTTTTCTCAAAATAAAACTGGATTCTCAAAATAAAACAAAATAAAATGGATAGAACAATATATCAATTACAGTAATAATTATAGTAGTAATTACAATAATATTATTAATAACATTGACCTTCACTGGGTTTATGGCCGAATAATCCATTAAAGAACGCGGGCATTCTTGTGGAGCCTCCTATATCACTAGTAAGAGAGAATGGAACACCACTCGCTGATACAATGGCCGCATCTCCTCCACTACTGCCTCCGACAGTCCTAGTGGTGTTGTAAGGATTATTTGTCTGTCCATATACATTATTTCTTGATTCAGTCCATAAAAGAAGCTCAGGAATATTAGTCGTAGCAATTAAAATCCCACCGGCCTCTTTAAGAAAACGAACTGTTGTGGCATCTTCTTCTGAACGATAATTACGACGACCAAGTAGACCCATTGAATGAATTAAACCTAATAGGATAATTAATAATAAGGAATATAATTAATTAATATTAATTTCATTATTACTTACGACAGTAAAAGTTTTTTTATTCTATAATTAAATGCATTTTTTTTCTAAAAATTCAGACAAATATTATTTGATAAGAAAAATAAAATAATTTTAAAATTATTAGTTTAACTTTGTCAAGATTATATCAATCATTTTCATTTTCTTTAAAGAAGTTCTTCAGCTTAAAAAAGTGAAAAGGAATTATATGACTTTTCTTATCTTCACATGAGAGAACAAAGGATGTAAAATGCCATTGCCATCTTCTAAAAAATAAATAATAAAAAAAATTTTAACAATATAATTGTAATTTATTAAAAAAAATAATGCTATCCAAAACTCAATAGTTTCTTAGATATTTCATTTTGATATTGTGAATTATAAAATATCTCACGCGTATATACAAATTGAATTAAGCACTAATATAAAAGAACATTCATTCTTGGGCACGTTATCATGTAAGTACCACATCTGTTTTTTTTTTCAAATGTGCTGACACTGATTTATGCTCAACTAATTTTGTTTTTTTTTTTTTAATATTAAACTAAGTATCTCATAAGATCGTACATGTGAGCACAATAAATAGCACATAAATGCTTTTTAATAGTCTAACTGGATCTTAAGTGTACTTTGTTTTCCTATTTTTTGTTTTGTATAGAATTACATTAATTGATAAATATTGACAATAGGAGACCCAACTTCCAATGATCTTGATTTTGTATAATATGCATAATGTTGTCAAAGCCATAATTCTGAATAACTTTGTCTTAACAATTAGGAGGTGGTCTTTTAGAGTTTCTAAGATATTTAGAATTAAAGTTCTCTTTGCTAGAGGCTTTCAACTTTTTACGCAAAGCGAGGTTCATCCCACATCCCTCCTGCATAGAGGTGATCGAACTTCAATGCGAAGGTAGGTCTATCTTCTGCTTTAGAAGAAGGGAGAGAGGGGATAAATCACACTTCGCAGTAATGTAAGTAGTCTAAGGTAAGTCGAATGCTTTAGGAGGAGTGTGGACTTCTCTTCACGTCGAATGCCTCTTGACGAGGTGAATCTCGCTTGTGGATCCGAGTAAAATTTATTACTGAAATTACACTTTAACTTTAAATATCTCAAAAAATATAAGAGACCACCATTTAATTAATGCAATTTAATTAAGGCAAAGTTACTCAAGATGACTTTAACAACACATGTCATGCTTAAAATTATTGGAGTTGAGCTCCCTGTTGTCAGTATTTACTCATTGATTATATCTCTAGTTGTCAGTATTTACCCATTAATTGTACAATAAAAAAAATTGGCTCTAAAGAATAAATCAAAGAAAAATGATGCCTATGCAAACCAAGCACTGAATATCCGCGTGCAAAATATTTATTATTTAATACAAAATGTACATTTCGATCCTAATGTGGATCCTTCTCAATATCGCAATCAACTTAAATTAATATAACAATAAAAAACGTTGATAATAAACACCTAACATAATTATAATACAATTATAAATTGAATTAAGTGACTTGTAGTAGCCTTGTTTTTTGTTGCAGTAAGAAGTTATGAAGTCCAAAAGTATTTTCAAAATAATTACCAAATTAACTGGATCAAGTTATAAAATTAAAATTAAAACGAACATACAAGATAAATAATAAATAAATAATTAGACTTACATGATAAAACGCCAAGACATGTCAAGAAAAAGTACATTCTGTTTTTCGTAACCATACAAACGACGCAGTCAAAACTAAATAATATATATATATATATATA